CTCAGTGATGTTTTTGAAAAGCAATTATAAAAGTTTCAAACAAACAAAAAAGAACAAATCATAAATAGCACACATTTGGGAACCCATTGCTCAGCTTTGGAATTTTCGTAAGAAACAGATATTTACAGATAGGGTGAAAGCTCCCTTTGTACCCCTCCGGCTTACCACCCTTAACCCTCCCCTGCTATGAGAACACCAATACCCTGAATTTGATGTTTTACATCCTCATACACATTTTACTCTATATTTATATATCCATTAAAATATGGTACAGTTTTGCACATTTAACAGTATGACTACTGTTACTTTGGATGCATCTTTCTATAATTCATTCTTTTTTGCTCAATATCATTTTTGTGATATATCCATGTTGACACATATGGCATTTGTGTATCATTTTTTATTACTTTGCATTAATATATTGGTTTATTCTTACTCTTTATGAACATTTTAAAGCTTTTTTGCTATTTAAAATTATAAACAGTAATGCAATAAACATTCTTGTAACTTTTATCTCTGACAACTTTCTTAAACTCCATTCCAAAAAAAAAAAAGAATACTATTATGGACATATGCATAGAGACTCAGCTGTGCTGTCTAAATTTTGTGTTAGAATAATGCAGGAATGAGTAGCAAAAGCAAGACTTTTTGGCTATACTTACATTTGAGGAGACACGGTCTAAGCCTAAAACCAATTCACGTTCTGTGTACACCACAATTTTCAGTTGATACATCAGGATCTATCATTACATCTTGAAATCTCACCTATTAACAAACTGGCTATTATTAGTTGTACCGCTTTCCTGAACCAGACTTGAATTTCTGTGGTCTGCAATTTTTATTGAGTTGGAAAAAAAAAAACTGGCAGCAACCAAAGTATTATGTTGACAGAGGTGTGCTCTGAATAAAGCAAGTTTTGTCACTATAGAAATAGAAATAGTGGCCTAAAAATGTAAAAATAAAAAACAAAAAACAAACGAAAAAAAAACCATCAAAATTACTTTCTTGTAAGAAGCACACCATGGGAGAGGGAGTGAAATTTCCATGAGACATCATGCCTGTCGATTCTAACACACTCTCTTTATGAGGTGGGAATGGGGAAATGATGGCCAAGTGCTTGTTTTACATTTAGGATCCCTATAGTCTGTTTAAAATGGCTTATTAAAACATTTCCATGTCTACAATGAAACAAAATTACTTTGATAAATCATGCTCTGTTCTGGAGTCTCAGCATTCTGAAGAATTTGGCCTATTGTGTTAATACCAGAGCTGATTTTAGTGGTACCAATGGTAAAAACATCAGCAGAGCTTTTGGAGAAATTACGGGTACAACAGTTAAGAGACAAAGTTTTAGCCTTGACTCCTCCTCTCACTATGAACTTTGTGAAAATGTCACTTCAGCCCCAGTCACTTTGGACATAGTGTTGCCCTAAATCAGGGCTTTCCAAGTGGTTTATGTTAATCCTATGAAATGTTAAATAAATGTGGTGTGTTGGAACTACAATTTTTCAAAAGTTATGAAATTGAAAAATTTCAGGTGCAAGGCATGCACTAAAAGTAAATATTATTTCATGAAATTTTTGTTACAGAGGGGTGTGTGTGTGTATGACTGCTGTGAGATATTATGTAAATTAAGCTTTTTTCTTTTTGTAAATCGAGGTATTTTTGATAATTAAGGATTATGTATACCTAAGGCAACAATTTGATGATGTGTTACACGTATCCATTATTAAATAATTACCATAGTCAAACTAATTACTATTTCATCACCTCAGATTGTTATCACTTTGTGTGTGTGTGTGTGTGTGTGTGTGGTGAGAACATTTACAATCCACTCTGTTAGCAAATTTCAAATATATAATAAAGTATTGCTGATTAAAATTGCATTGTTATGCATCAGCTCTCCAGAACATGTGTGATGTCTTCATCTTGTGTTAAAAGAAACTTCTTATTCTGTATTGCTTTCAAAATGATTTGAGAGCCATTGGTACAAGCCTGACTTCAGAAAGAAACTCAGGGGCTTTCCAGAAGGGGTTAAGCCCTTGTTTAAAACTTACCAGTTGCCCGCATTTTCTAGGATGAAGCCCAGATTCCCCAGCATAGCAGAACATGATTCTCCTTCATAAATCTTGCCCCAGGACTATCCACTCTAAGGACATTGTGAACCGCACACTCTGTTTCTGCAGTACTGGCTCATGCCTTGTGCCTTTGCTATTTGCCCCTCAGCCTCAAATGCTCTTGGTAGACACAAAGCATTATCTTTGCTAGATGCCTTCCCACACCCACCAATTCTTATAGAATTGTCCAGTGCTTCCCTTGCTTCACAAAGCTTTACTGAGTGATGTCACAGTCTGCAGTATACTTTCCCATATTTAATAATAGTTTAAATATCCATCCCACCCTACTAGACTGTGGAAATTTTGAATTCAAGTCTTCATATTATAAGAATTTAGGTTCTTCAGGATATAATGAACTGTTCTACCATGAATCTAAAAAAAAAAAAAGAATTTAATTTCTTTCCTTTTCTCATGCACATTCTCTGTTTCCCATTGCTCTTAAAATCATCTTATTATTTAAGAACAATATATGTTCATTTCAAATGATATGAAAAGGCAGTTGAAACTTTAAGTTGCACACCTAAAGATGGCCACTGTTAATATCTAAACTAATGTTTCACTCTGCCTGTATACATATGCCAAGAGAAGCCAACATACACACAGGCATTCATGTGCATGTGCACACACACACACACACACACACACACATTGTTACACAAATACATTCTTTCATTAATCTGACCAATTCTTCTTTTCAGCAATATCAAGGACACTTTCTATGTCACTGATATACCTGCACATAATTTTAATGGCTGCTTATAATTCTAATTTATGGCTTCCCCTGGGTTTGTTTTGGTTGCCATTTATCAACATTAAAAGCAGGGATAGTGGACTTGACTTCTTATTTCTTGCATGCCATGATTATAAATTAAAAGACAGCATTATTGTCCTTACCTTCTTTGATTAGCTACCAAATCCTGGTCTGATTTTATAACTCCCTTCAAGGCATTCCATATTTGGCCTACTTCCCTTTCTCTTCAGGCTATCTTTGGGCTGTGTCCTGTTAAAATTCCTGTATATCAGAGAAGCTTCTACCTCACAATGCAATGTCTTCAGTCAAACTTTCTCATTTTTATGAGAATTTTCTGTAGTTAAATAGTAAAGATTTGACTTTTGACAACTTTCCCTTTTAGAAACAAATTCAGTGGAATCATGCATATATTTTATACGATGATTTTGAATTTCACTTCCCTCAACCTATCTGGATTGTACCCAACCTTCCTCTATTCTGTAATCATAAAATCCAAGATGAGATATGATTCTTTTCAATGGAAATTCCTATCTTACCAACCACTTCCACTCTTAATCACTAGTATAGTTCACTGGGATACTTCCTCTCTTCCCTGGAGCTAAAGCCACAAACTACAACTATTCAGATATATTATTTTGCTAAACTGCAACATCTGGTACAAATTTGAAAAAGTACAAAGCCTCATTACTACTAAAATTCATTTGTGTCAGTTTTTGTGAACTTGTAAGGACTATGTCATCTATTTCTTCAATGAAACTTGGTAATGTAGGTGTAGTCCATTGTATTTTCTCCTGTTTTTAGTCTTAGTTAAAGCTCTCGGGAGTTTCTCTCTCAGTTTATGGATTCAACAGTAGAGTGTGTTTTCATACTATACAGTACTTACCCAACCATTCATTTAGACAGTCTTCTTGTTTCTGTCACTATAATCTTGAACCCCATCTCACCAAGTCTTGGGGACATTTGTGTCATAATGTACATTGTCTCTGTTTTTAGTATAAAGTGTATGCCATTTATTACCCATGCTTTCGTTGTTAGTATGTAGAAATCTGAGCCACCAGTGTCATTTCCTGCTTTCTACTCAATTATCTCATACTGTGAACTATAGCCTCATGTTTTTCCTCTTTCCATCGTATCTGTGCTTCTTTCTGGCAGTGGTTCTCAAGCAGGATATATTTTTCTGTCAGGAGACATTGGCAGTGTCTGAAGGCCGTTTTTACTGTTACCTTGGGAAAGCTACTACTGGTGTGTGAATGGTAGAAGCCAGGGATGCTGCAAAAAATCCTGTAATGCACAGTATGGTCTTCCTCCCAGCAAAATATTACCTGATTCAAGAAGTTAATAGTGCCGAGTTCAAGCAAACTTGCTGTATAGCAACTGACTTCATGTATTTTATTTGAACTTTCAGATTTCTCCCACCCCTGAGATGTTCAATTTAATATATTCTCTTGACTCAGACTAGCTACTCAATGGCAAAAAAAGAAGGAAAGTTATATCTCATTACATCTATGTCTTATGCTTTCATTAAAGTGAGACAGAAGTTGTCATCTTTGTCCAAAATGCTGGTAAAATAGTACTGTAGGACCACTTGATATTACCATAGTTATACAGAATAGAGAATGAGAGAATTAAGCGTATTTATAAGTAAAGAATAAAACCAGATAAATTAATAAGTATGGTTATCCTCAGATACTCTCTGCTTCAAATGATATTTGTTGTTATAAAATTGTGTTTGAGGCTGGGTGCAGTGGCTCACGCCGGTAATCCTAGCACTTCAGGTGGCCAAGACAGCCAGTTTGTTTGAGCTCAGGAGTTTGAGACCAGCCTAGGTGACATGGCCAAACCCTGTCTCTACAAAAAATACAAAAAGTAGCTGGGTATGGTTATATGCTCCTGTAATCCCAGCTACTTTGGGCGCTGAGGTGGGAGGATCATTTGAGCCTGGGAGATTGAGGCTGGGCTGCAGTGAGCAGGGATTTGGTCCCACTGGCACTCCAGCCTGGGTAGGCAGAGCAAGACCCTGTCTAAAAGAAAAGTTGTGGTTGCAAATAAATGTATTGAAAAAACCTCCATAGGCAGCTTAATGTGAACACTGTCTCATTTTATTTTTCTCCTTTGTTTTTTTCCTCCTTCAGATATTTCACATTTTCAGGAACAAAATGATTTAAAAGCATTACTAGAAAATCTCCATCAAAATATCCAATCCAAAAAAAGAAAGAATGTAGAAATTATGTGGCTGGCTGCAACGGTAAGCACTCTCATGTCAAATCTTATTTCCTGCCACGTCATAACCAGCAAATATTATCAGTTCTCTATTGTGCAGGGTCCAACCTCTGCACTTGGGGTTACCAGCTGTCATCTTCTATTATTCCGTGGATTAGGCATTTTTACTCTTGTTGGTAGTTCTATCCATAGACTAGAACATAAGATGAAAGAAGATGCACTCAAGAAAGAATCTTGCTCACTTGCTATTTTTACCAACCTTGGATGTGTTCTCCACTCTGAGGGAGCGTCTGTGAGTTTCTTGATGTTGCATGTTGCAATGTCAATTGCCCGTATCACCCAGGATTTTGAACTGCTGCTTTAGAGACATATGGTTTCAACAGAATGTGGTTATCAGATCTCTGATTCACAGCTTCAATAAGGCTCCTGGACATATTGTTCAGTTAACAAGCTTACAAATGTGTTTGTTAATTTAGATGTTGGCATAGAATTCATTACTGATGGATTGCTCTAGGGGTAATGAGCTATATTTTGTGTAGCTCTTTCTCATTTAATGGTGCCTTTGGGGTAAAAGATCTGCCTGTGTTCTCACCGCAGGTTTCTACAAGAATTAGAAAAAAATGCCTGTATGTTTAAGGCTCTTATCTGGTAACCATTGAGGCATAGCTCACATGAAATTTATGAATTGTGTTAAACATTCAGACCCCAACATCCTTTCATTAGGAATGCATTCTTCCATCAGGAAAGGTACATGTTAAAGATCTTTATGATAAATGCCATGTTTGCAGTTCTGTAGTGTTATTCCTATAATTTGGAGCTCAGGTTAACCACGCTTCTGGCATACTCTATTCATTCTCTAGTCATAGCATTTAAAACAGAAAGTTTTCCCCTACTGCCAGTGCTTCAATTATAATTCAGTATTATTACTTTCTTCTGGGAAAAAGGAATGGATAATTTACCATGAGCCCATATGAAATAATTTACCAAAAGCAAGGCTAACTAACTTCTTTAGTTTCCCTTCCTGCTTTCTTGGAGCCCCAGGGAAGAACAATATGAAATGTTGCTTTCAGGCAGCTCATTTACACTGGTTCCATTTAGCGCCATACTGTATTACATGAAGGTTGTTTTTAATAGTGTGGCTGCTCTTTGTATCTTCAGAGACCACTCTGGTTGTTAATTCTAACAAAAATTTCACAATGGCAGGTCATAAATTGTGTTTTCTATTTTACTGAAAACACGACGGCATGAAGATAGTTTGATACTCATGCTATCTGATGATTTACAAACATAAATGTGTCATTATGTACATATTGTGAAGTTATGTAAATAGATAAATTAAGGATACACACATATAAACACAAATGTGTATTTTCTTTTAATATATGCAATTTCCCATTTTAATGTATGAAAAAGTTTTCCTATAAATCCCACACATTTCTAAAAATTTTTTTGAAATGTGTATACTGACCAAATATGATTTACTCACAATTCACCACTGAATAAATGATTAGTAGCATTTCTGTTGGCTAATGCCTCAGTTTCAATGTTCTATTTGTAAATCATGGGCCTTAATGAAACTTTTAATATAAAGAAATATAGAAATTCCTTTTGATATTTTCCAGAAATATTTTGTCAATATTTATTTTATTTTATTTTCCTTTAAAAAATCTATTTAATGAAATATTGCTTTAGTTAATGTTTTACATTCTAATTGAAAAATATAAAGTGGCCGGGCATTGTGGCTTATGCCTGTAATCCCAGCACTTTGGGAGACCGAGGCAGGTGAATCATGAGGTCAGGAGATCAAGACCATCCTGGCCAACATAGTGAAACTCCGTCTCTACTAAAATACAAAAATTAGGCGTGGTGGCGCATGACCATAATCCCAGCTATGCAGGAGGCTGAAGCAGGAGAATCGCTTGAACCAGGGAGTCGGAGGTTGCAGTGAGCCGAGATCACGCCACAGCACTCCAGTCTGGTGACAGAGCGAGACTCTGTCTCAAAAATAAATAAATAAATAAATAAATAAATAAATAAATAAATAAAATAAAGTTATTTGGTTTTATCTTCTTTAAGTTTAAATAGTAAAAGTGAAGATTTAAAGAGGACAAATGACAATCAAGTGTGTTAAATCAATAGTTCGGGTATTATAGAAATACAGAAATCAACTGCCCTTACCTCTAATAGACTTTAAATTTAGAACGTTAAATATTCTAAGTAGGACAAGTACATATGATAGTAGCAAAAATTTTTTTTTAAATAATTTGTTTATTATTATTATACTTTAAGTTGTAGGGTACATGTGCATAACGTGCAGGTTTGTTACATATGTATACTTGTGCCATGTTGGTGTGCTGCACCCATCAACTCGTCATTTACATCAGGTATAACTCCCAATGCAATCCCTCCCCCCTCCCCCCTCCCCATGATAGGCCCCGGTGTGTGATGTTCCCCTTCCCGAGTCCAAGTGATCTCATTGTTCAGTTCCCACCTACGAGTGAGAACATGCGGTGTTTGGTTTTCTGTTCTTGTGATAGTTTGCTAAGAATGATGGTTTCCAGCTGCATCCATGTCCCTACAAAGGACACAAACTCATCCTTTTTTATGGCTGCATAGTATTCCATGGTGTATATGTGCCACATTTTCTTAATCCAATCTATCACTGATGGACATTTGGGTTGATTCCAAGTCTTTGCTATTGTGCATAGGCATGGGCAAAGACTTCATGTCTAAAACACCAAAAGCAACAGCAGCAAAAGCCAAAATTGACAAATGGGATCTCATTAAACTAAAGAGCTTCTGCACAGCAAAAGAAACTACCATCAGAGTGAACAGGCAACCTACAGAATGGGAGAAAATTTTTGCAATCTACTCATCTGACAAAGGGCTAATATCCAGAACCTACAAAGAACTCAAACAAATTTACAAGAAAAAACAAACAACCCCATCAAAAAGTGGGCAAAGGATATGAACAGACAGTTCTCAAAAGAAGACATTCATACAGCCAACAGACACATGAAAAAATGCTTATCATCACTGGCCATCAGAGAAATGCAAATCAAAACCACAATGAAATACCATCTCACACCAGTTAGAATGGCAATCATTAAAAAGTCAGGAAACAACAGGTGCTGGAGAGGATGTGGAGAAATAGGAACACTTTTACACTGTTGGTGGGATTGTAAACTAGTTCAACCATTATGGAAAACAGTATGGTGATTCCTCAAGGATCTAGAACTAGATGTACCATATGACCCAGCCATCCCATTACTGGGTATATACCCAAAGGATTATAAATTATGCTGCTATAAAGACACATGCACACGTATGTTTATAGTAACAAAAAATTTTAAGGAATATTAATTCCATTTAAAAATCGTATCTCATAAATAGCCATTATGGTCTATTTTATTATTATCAATATAGTTAAGAATTTTAAAAAATGAAATACTGTTTATTTGAAAGGATTAGAATTTTCTAGATGTAAAAAGATTATATGGAGAAATCATGCTCTCACATTTTCTAGTCACTTATATTGGAAATAGAAGTACCAAAGGTCTAAATTAATAGTGATGTATAAATTCAAGTTTAAGTATCAGAATCACAATTAAAACGTGATAATAAGTTCTAGATTAGCTGTATTATTTTACCTTCTTTTAAAAGCAGACAACTTTTAAAGACTGCTTGATGACAGATAATAAAGACGACCTTTGTTATATCACATTAGATCTATTTTAAATGCACACTGATTAGCATTGTAATGCCAAAGTTGATTATTGGTATTTCATATTAGAACCCTACCATGGCATAGAAGAGAAACAAATGGAATGATTTCCCTATTAACCATAAGGCAATGAGACAAGAGAGTATTGATGCTCAGTGATTTTTCTCTGACTCAAATCAGAATAACAAAAAGAAAGAACTGTGGAGGAAAACAGAACCTAACAGAAGTTAAAAAACTTGATTATTGAACTTAAGTAGAGTTCTGTTTAAATCCTGGTTCTGCTCTGTTATGTGCAAGTTACTTAACCCATCTAAACCTCAGTGTCCTCATCTATAAAAAGAAAATAATTATACCTTCCTCTAGAGTTCCTGTGAAGTTTATTTATTTACTTATTTTTATTTTTAATTTGGGAGGTGTTTTTTGAGACAGGGTCTTACTCTGTTGCCTAGGCTGCAATGCAGTGGCATGATCATAGGCTCAAGTAATCCTCCCGCCTCAGACTCCCAAGTAGCTGGGACTACAAGCATGCATCACCATGCCCAGCTAATTTTATTATTATTATTTTTGATAGAGAGGAGTGTTTGTTATGTTGCCCAGGCTTGTCTCAAACTCCTGAGCTCAAATGATCCTCCTGCCTTGGCCTCCCAAAGTGTTAGGATTACAGGCATAAGCCGCTGCGCCCAGCCCCTGTGAAGTTTGTTAAAAAGTGCAACTGTATATGAAATTTCTTAGTGTTGTACCCTAGAGCACAGTCAATTTGCAATAAACAGTGGCCATTTCTAGTATTCTCCTTTTTAGTACTGATGAGTAGTTCCCTTGTCTGTTGTGAGGCACCATGAGGATGTTTAAAATCTCATAACATAAAACCAAGACTAGCAAATGTTTCTTAAATGTAAAATAAGAGAATATTAGTTATATATGATTTGAATCAACTGTTTAATCCAGGGAATACAGATTTTGTTTGTTTGTTTGTTTGTTTTGGTTTGTTTGTGTTTTCCTCTTTACAATGAAGGTGTTGTTTCTGAGCAGGAATTAGTTTAGCATTGTCATACACTGCAGACCAGGCACCCCGTTGGGTAGTGTGCTGTGTCCTCTGCTGGGTATTTCACATCTTATACGGCTTCAACGGTTCCACGCCTCATGTACAAAGAACTAAACAAATTAGGTCCATTGCACTGGCTTTTGAAATGAAAAGGTAATGCCTTTACATCTGATAAGACTGATTGAACCAATTGACTACCATAAATTAACAGAAACCCAAATTTATATTTGATGTGTTTAGACTAGAAGGGTTTGGAGGAGGCCAACACTTTACTGTATTACAAATGTACAGTAAACATTCGTTTTTACATATGTTACAGATTTGCCGCAAACTAAATGGTATTCGTTTCACCTGTTGTAAAAGCGCCAAAGACAGGACATCAATGTCAGTGACACTTGAACAATGCTCAATCTTGAGAGATGAGCACCAGTTACACAAGGACTTCTTTATCCGAGCACTGGATTGCATGAGAAGGTATCTCACGTGTTTTTCAAGTTTTTTTTTGTTTGTTTAAGGTCATTTTTAGTTGTTTTATTTTTTTTTTTCAAAATGCATATTTTATTGGAGGACTAAATATTTCAGTACTTTACTGTATTTTCATGGCTTAGAGCTTATGACATGAGAGAGAGATAATTTTCTCTACCTCTATAATATTTTTATCTCTATCTGTATTCCCTTACTCATTTTAGGCTACTTTTCTAAACTTTTTATTTTCAGAAAATGTGACTGTGTACACATTTGATGACATGCATGATTATATATGATATTATATATTTTGTTAGCTGATTGGCTGAAGTTAAGGGGCCCCAAAAATGTCATATATAACAGTGTAAGACAAATTTTCATGATGCATAAGTATTTATGAGTACTCTCAAAATGAAACTAACTCATTATCCAAACAAAATCTTTCCAAATTACAACGAATAGGTGATATTCCCATGGCCCACGGAGTCTCTGGGTCAGTAACCTCCTTTCTAAAGTTATTTTCACATCACTCATCATAAAGATGGGATGACACTGATACTTTGAAATAGAGAATTAATATGGTTACTCTGCCGACATTTAAAATGCTATGCCCGAAGTCACGTTTCTTGATTCATTTCCACAGTAATTAAATCTAAACTCTAAGCCATAATGGGAACGAAAAAGTGCTTCATTCACAGTGTCTATCAGCAAGGACACATGTTAATTAAAAAGTTAAACGAAATTGTCTCTTTGCTGCAAAGCCTAGCTCAGAAGCACACTAGGAAGCGTGGGACAGGCTCTGGGTTCCCAGAAAGGAATGCCATGTGATTCACTGGAGAGGGCTGCTTCTTATCTAACCTGCCATTAGCTACCAGTTTTCTTTTAACTGCTGCAGTCTTTCATTGGCGACATTGACGTTTGCTTGTGCTCGTTCTATGCCTCTATGTTTTCTCACTAACGAGAGGTTTCTGAAGTCCTGTATTTCATCCCATTTCATGTCTCTCGGCATTTTCATTGTTCAGTGGAGCTCTATCATAATTTTTTGATAAATGTGTGAGGATGTCTTAGAGGCCTGACGTGAACATCTCAGCCATATAAAACATGTTTGGTTGATATAAAAACTTCTTTCAAAAAATAATATCTCAGCACTAACAGGTAAAATAACAAATTCATGTATGAAACCTTCAAATCTGCAGAAAAATAAGACAAACGTCACTGTAGATGGAACAAAGGTGCTTGGTGAGAAACGCAGGAATGCATGATATTATCGGCCAGGTACACCATGGGACTAAACTGATTTAGGTAACAAATCTTCTGGAAGATGAAATTGCTGTCTGTTTATTTAAGATAGAAGAGGGAACCCTTAAATTAGAAATAAAATAATTCAAACAGGTAAATAAAGGCTATATGTATACTAGACATGTTATACTATAGAACAACATATTTTGGTATTGCCTATGACTGACATTATATATGCAATACATTTGCCCATGATATAGCATTTGTGATGATTCATTTTTGTGTTTTTAAGGTTAGGCACTAGAAATTGAATCTAAAACACTAAAGGCTTAACTTGAAATCCGTAGTATTCTGGTGATCTTCTTCTTTTGGTTTTGTGTGTGTATGAGGACTGTGCCAGAGCGTGAGTGTGATCTGTATTTGTGTATATATGTATGCACGTATTTAAAAGAAAATAAGATGTGTTCTTTTCTTTAATAACTGCCTTCATTTCCCTCTGTGTATTTTGCCTCACAACACAGGATCATAGGTTTACAAGCTCTGGCAACACAGCAGAGTAGGTAAGAGCATGAGGCTTGGGAGCCAGCTAATTTGAATCCAGGCTATATGCCATTACCCATAGGCAAGTTAGTCTCTCACTGCCTCTTAGTGCCTTAGGGCAAGTTACTCAACCTCTTGCTACCTCTCAGTTTCTTCATCTTTTAAAACAGACTTGATAATAGTAGCTCCATTTTAGGAGCGTCTTGAGGATTAAATGAATTGATACATGTACAGGAATTAACAATGTTTGGCACATAGTAATCATTAAATAATGTTGGTTAAAAAAATAAAAAAAATCAAGGGCTGTAATGTTAATACTCTGATTTTCCATGTGCAGTATAATCTAGTTAATTATGATCCTTGTAGTTTTATGTTTGTGAATATTTTATGACATAAAGTTGGACTACAATAGCATATGTTAAAATAAAGTGTCCTGGCAGCTCTTGTAAATAAGGTTTCAAATGCAATATCTTCCCTATTTAAGAAAATCAGCTCTTTAAATAGCACTTTAAAAATGTGCAAGTGTTTGCAAATGCTGTGTTAATTATGGAAGCATCACAATCCCTGAAAAGTTTTTTATAAACATTTTTGATGCTAATGTGTATTATATATCTAGAAATAATCATAGAATTTAAGATAAGTCACCTTAGAAATTTCTTATCAATATTTTTAGACATATAACTCTTACAAATTTCCTACCCCACATGCAACAGTGGTTCATGAATAAACATTTCTCAAGCTACTGCTTAATGCTGATTGATTACCGGGGTCCCAAAACTCTGGGTTCTGACAATATTTTACAGTTGAGTTTTTTGAGAGGAAGCAGATTTGCCTAGCTCCTCACTCTGCCATCTATCAAATCCCACCCTTCAGACAGTGGTTTTTAAATGAACTGTAACTTTTAAAAAATACGTATGTTTGATTGGTGTGTTAAAAGGTGGAAGGACGGGAAGGGAGTGAGGGATGAGAAACTACCTGTTGGGTACAATGTACACTATTCAGGTGGTGTTTACACTGAAAGCCCAGACTTCAGCACTATGCAGTATGTCCATGTAATAAAGATGCATCTGTACCCCCCAAATCTATTTTTTAAAGTATATCAAGATGTAGTTTAAGTTATCATCATCTTGGGTTCAATTTTATAATAAAACAACATGTCCTATACTGAAACAAAATACATATGTTTAGACCCCCACATGGATTATAATTGAGAAGATCTGAGATGGGTCCCAGAATTTAATTTTTTAAGAACTTTACAGACATTCTGAGGAACAACTCTGGATTTTTAAAAATCAGTGTTTTAAGGGAATTTGATTTGTATGTTTTTGAATTTACTGCAACTTTTAATTTTATTTAACATCAGTTGCAGTTTATTTTACCTTTGAATTATTCCAATCACCTTCCAGGCTATTTTATCTGGATTTCTTAAAAATTCACCAAGGTTTCTTCATCGTAAAAATTCAAGGGAAAAATAAAGTTCACCAAGGTTATCATATCACTCTTTATTTAGTTTTATTTTTTCCATATCTATATTAATTATTTTCTGTTGTATATGCTTATCTCTGTAGCAGTTTCAAACTATGTATGATGAGTAAAGGTATATAAATGAAAGTAAATAAAGCTCCATCTGGTTCTTATTCAGAAATCCCCATAGGAGAAGCAGCTCTCTGAAGGTAGAGACTTTTGTTTCTTTTTGTTCACTACTATATTTCCAGTACCGAAAACAGTACCCAGTGAACACAGTATCATTTTTTTTCTCAATAAATATACAATAAAGGAATACATGAATGACATGGGTTTCTAAACCTTTCAGGTCCTATGTATTACGTGGTATTGTGCATACATAGGCATTTTAAATTAAGCATATGAAGTTATCACTTAATTGTCACATATTGATAAGCACAAGTTGCAGAATATGAAAGAAAAGTCTTATTATCCTAATTCAAAAACAAATAGGCAATAAAGAAACCATTTCAGCTCACCACCTGAATCCACCCTTTGTACAATTGTCAAAAAATGCAGACTTCCTTTTTTCTACATATCCAGTATTACTTTCAGCTGCACACTCCTGATGGACTTTTGAGTACCATCTGTTTGATGAAATGGCATAAATGCCTCTTCAGAATAGAAGATCAACACCAGGTGTCTGGGTGATCTGACTCTGTAAGGCTCTCTTAGTGATTGACTATATCGTTAAGACCAAAACAGTGATTCTTAACCCTCATTGACCATCATAAATCTAGAAAACTATTTTAACAAAATATAATTGTATAGGGAAATTTAATGCCTCTATAAAGTAAATTAAAACAAAAATACCATTGTACTGGTTTTTTCCCTTAACAGGAACTCTAGGATGATGGCTATACAAAGTAATAATGTGACACCATAGTTCTCCATTGTCTTTTGTTTTATACTACATTACTTTCTCAATCTGTCATGGCTCCTTAAAATTAGCATAGTTAATATGCCGTTAGTAGAAAGACTCAGGGTAAGTTTCAGCATATACTTATGTATCACCCTTGCAATACAGGGCTTTAGTCATTCTATTTCAGTAAATATTTAATTTATAAGAGACTTAAAAGGCCCATTGGCCTTATTGAGTTTCCTTTATTAAATGTCATATTCTCAACTGTTGCACCTGTAATTTATCTGTTGGGGGAGCATAATTTATGAAGTATTCTGCTTTATAAGTAAATGACTCTTAACCAATTGATGTCTGTAAAAGATGTGTTTGTATGACTTCTTCCCTTGTAGGGTTCACTTTTAAGTAATGTAGTTCAATTGTTGAAATAGAAAAGTTTCTTCCTTCTGTCTTTAGTCTTGTTTCCACTTGAGCTTATTTTTTTCTTTGTTTTTGATTGTACTCGTTGGAGAAGAGCTGCTATTATTTCATATTATATCCTATTTCAAATATTAAAGAGAATTATAAGCATTGTAAACATAGGTAATTGAAGTTTGCAGCTATTTTTTGACTACTTGAAAGAGATGCGTTTGTAGGGAACATCATAATTGGGAACAGTTTTTCCGTGATTGCTAAGTATTGTCTCCTCCCTTGAGAGTTTCAGTGGCATGTTTGCTACATTACTTCAGTCAGTATTTGCAGCAAATAACAGGAGTAAGCTGAGACAGAGTCACCTTCAACTCAGGGTTATTAATAAAAACATGAAAATTGACCTTATTTGGGATGTTTTTACTTCAGTTGAAGGTGAGTTAAAAGATACTGCAAAGAA